GAATACCTTTTGGGAAGCAAGGCTATGCGAACTTCAATTGCAACGTCAGTTTTACTCATGCAATTGGGGGAAATATTCAACCATTAGCCCCCTTATCACCCATACTCACTTTATGGCACCTCGCCCACCAGTTGTTCTGGTGCTATATTTAAGGCGACTTCATCCGAAGAGGATATTGGAAGATACTTTGTGGGTGAAGGTGGGCCCAACTGGCCGTTTGCAATATCACAATCATCCTCTTCCCTGTTTTTCATTCTTTATCGGGTTGTTATTGGGCTGATAACCGCTAACGACGAACACCAGCAACAGCAATAGTAGCAACAGAAGTGATTGGTCGCTACCGAAAAATCCGATGTTCCAAACAGTTCCGATGATTTAGGTAGGCTTTGCTATGAAGTTGATTGTGCCACTTTTCGCTACCTATTTTCCTGTCCTTTAAGTCACTGCTGGCCAGATTTGCCTGCCTAGTCTGCACAACTTCTGACTCCTTCATTTTCGATGATATTCGGGCTAATACTGCTTTCTTGCCTCTGCTACTGCCTGGGTTGCTGCTGATTCCGAAGACTCCACCACTTTGTGCATAGTCTCTTCCTGCCCCTCCTTGCCACTAGCTTTTGCTTCAACTCTACTTGCCACCCACCCCTTGTTGTTCCATATTCGTACCAACTGGTCATACCTTTTATTTGTCCTTCTTATAGATAGTTGCTTCGACTAAATCCAAAAAATGGCAGACCCTATCGTTGACCAGATTTGGGCCAGCTGCAGAAAAGTTATTTTGCGTGTGCTTTGTGAGTGGAAATTTGCACGTGTTAGCAAGTTTTGCATGGCAGATGCGCATGAAAAAGCGTCCGGAACATGCCAGTAGTTGCCGAGCTATGGAACTTAAACCATCGGTTAGGCCGGCATCCCGTAGGGACCGGCGATGCTGTTCTCTTTGCGAAGCCGAACAGTTAGGACCAAGCCTTCTATTGCACCCACAATTGCTTTCCGTAAATGACAGTATACCCAGGAGATAATAGCGAATTCGTCTAGGTTACACTATGCGATTGTAGTAATTGCAGTAGTAGTAATAATGGCTCTATTAATATTTCTAATAATAAGAAGAATAATTATAATAGCAGTAGTAATATTAGTAGTATAAACAGTAGTTGGCCTAGGGGTAGTAGTAGTAGCAGCAGCAGCAGTATAGATTGCTGTGATGGTTGTAATTTCCCAAATTAACAGTAATTCTTAACTAAAAATATTATTGTAGGAAAAACTCTACTATCATTCCTTAAATCACATGTTCTTATTGAAGAATTACTGGTAGCCTTTAAAGGTAATTTCATAGAAAACCTGCATCGTAGTCGGCTATAATGCCAGATACATGTTTGATTTGGGTAAGGCATGGCTTGCCCTATTGATCACGCCTTTCCCTTGGCCTATTGGGGTTCATGGCGTTGTGTAGAGGAGTGGCAACGTCCAAGCCGGTCTCCTTTTCCGTTTGGGGTGCTGAGGCCACAACTGCCGTTCAGCTTGGGTGAGAAAGCCTTATGGGAGATTGGACCAAGTGAGATTCAATGTCACCTCGGCCATCACTTGACATGACGTAGAGTAATTGAATTTTCAATAAACCAGTTGAACCTGACACAGAGAACTACTGCTCAGATCTGCTGTCCCTATGAGAAAGTACAGAATTGGATCACCGAATTTGGCGAAACAGGCGAATCGAAATCCAAGCTCATCCAAACGGATAGCCGCGGCTCGGCCAACGATTGTTGTCATAAGGTACACCAACGCGGCAAGCGTCGCGCCAGGGTATAAAACAGGATTCCCAACGCTCAAAACCCAGCGGAATAAAGTGCATAGTGCAGCCAAGCCGAAAGGTAACAAGCCGCCATTCGATTGGTCAATTTCTTGCTTCCCCACTGCAGTCAGACGCTAAAGTTGAGCGTTCGTAGTGCTTCTTCGAGCATCAGTTTTAACAGTTGAATTGCGTCGATGAGGCAAGTACATATTATTTGTAATCGGCGCCATCTCTTATTTGGAGTTCGGGTGTCATTCGAAAGCATCATTAAGCAATATATGTGAACGGATAGTCTCGTGAATCGCTCATAACAAAAATGGGTAACATCTATGTTGACAAAAAACCTTTTGGAAGGTAGGCCAAGTGAAATGCAATGGCATCATATCACCCATTTGCAGTATTGTTGGGAAAACTCCACATTCATTCTTTGCATCACCTAAAGCGACCAAATGGGACAAACTTCGCATTCACGCTTCTGTCCGTGGTACAGGCCAGGCAAAGGATGCAGTATATACTAGCAATATGCTATATTTATGTTATTTATTTACGATCTGAGTAGTTTTCTCGACTAGCCGTAATTCTTGAATACGAACTTAGTCACCCTAGGTCGCGAAAGGTGATTTGAAGACTGATAGTTGATTGAGGCCTACTCATCTCGGTGTGGGAAAATCACCTAACACTTCATTTCTCAAAAATATTCTCTTATTGAGTGCCCATAAGAGCTCTCTATCTTATCTTTGCAGGATTTAGTAGAGGTTGCAGGCTGCGCATCAGACAACCCCAATTTTCGAACCCTGTTCTGATGGAGTTTAGTTCGCAGTCGATGCACTTATCTCCATCTATCCTTGCTTAATCCCGGTTTCAGATTTTTCATAACTTTTTCATATGGCACTCCTTATCACACCTTTTTTCAGCAATTCTGTATTGCGAGATCAACTTTTGTGTCGTTAGGGCTAACGCGCAAACGTCTACCCTTTCGTTTTGAGATCAGGCATGGTTTGCCTCCCGAATGTCTAAACAACCACAATGGAAGGCAACTGGCTTGCATAAGTGTGCAGTGAACAGTCGAAAACTCTGCAACTTCAGGTCATAAGTTCTTCAAAGTTTGATGCTAGAAGCGCCAGAGACGACTCCCTATGGCATAGAAACTTCAAGTGGCATAAGAAACGGTTGCAACTTTTCTTATAAGATATAAGCCTTCTCAACCAATTCTAGGTTGCTTTGGACGCCTACCCGTACATCTCCGCCTTGTCTATAAGTTCATATCTTTATATCATCGCCGCAATAATTTTTTCGATGATTTCCCCTATCTCCACAAGGCTTATTTTTACGAGAGTCCAGCATGATGGACTGTTTGGAGGGGAAGAAACTAAGCCATTTTCTAAATTGGCCTTTGTAGCATAATTCGGATCAGATTTCTTGAGGCTCACATTGGCCTCTTTAACGACTGTTCGAATTTCATATCTTACAGTTTTACCGAGTTTCAAGGTTTCCCTCATTTACTACATGATTAGTCTTTCTCCTACGCCAAGTTAGTATAAGACTTGGTGTCGCAAATAAGGCAACATAAAAGCAACTTTGAGTAGAAGTCTGTGATAATTCCTCTTGCCATTCTTCGGCAAATCCAAAGGGGGGCAGTCACTTTGGCGACAAGCATCACCCTCTGATCAAATGGGATATTCATTCAAGCTTTCGACCTAAGCTTGTCTAATACGTTGGGACATCTGGAATAACTCATCTTTCCTCCAGATTGTCATACCAGTCCTTGATTGTGGGTAGTCTGGTATGCCGTGTATGTAGGCTTACAGTACTACCACACTTTTTCGATTTGAGTAATTCATGATCAAGAATTCAGCCAGCCAGGCGAGGTGGAAACTGCAGTCCAGTCTGGATGAGGTAGCTTTTTGGGAGGAAAGGATACGTGAACTTTAATGGCATTCCTAGGTCTATTCAGCTCATTGTGGGCA